CAAATGACATAGGTGAAAAAGAAATTACAGAACAAACCTAAAAATTCAAATCCACAAAGATTGTTTGTTTGTTATTAATTTTGCATAAAGCTACATGAGGGTTATCTGCACTAACTGTCCCTAATTTAGCAGTGTAAGACTAGAGGGAAGGTAACTATTCATCACCACCCACCGCCAACTCTTGGGCTACTCTTTTACCAACAAATAGTGGGACTGACTGTTATATTATATCGCCCTTACAGCTGAAAGGGTGAGCATGTTTGGTTTGATGGGGATTCGAACCTGCGAGCCTTAGATTGCGAGTCAAGTGCCCTAACCACCTGCCCATGCCAGGCCAATCCACAATGAAATAAAGAGGAGGAATATTGTCCTCTACAGGTAAAAAAAAGACCTTGTGCAAACCTAGGAAGTGGAAAGAGCTGATCACAATCATCATCCTCATGATCAGGTTCACACAGGAGGAAGTGCACTTGCAACATATGGACAGGGAGATGAGGCAATGAGGGCATTAATGGAACCATGACTCAACAAATAATGGTATTAATTTCCACCAGAATCAATTACTCTCCAGTGGCTACAGACAAAGTATGGTGTTAGTTACATTACTAAAATCTTGGGAGGTGGAGGTAGCTCCAAGAGGAAAGAACCTAGAAACCGGAAATTTTGCACACATACTAAGTAGACCCTAAGGATGTGCACCTGGGTATTATTATCCATGTACGTGTGCATATTTTTGTGAGGCAAGCTAGTGAAAAACCACCTAGAAAAGAATATGTGACTGCCATAGCTCCAAGAGCAAAGAACCTAGCAATTTGAAATTTTGCACTCATACTATGTGGATTCTGAGGGTGTGCAACAGGGATTTATTAGTTATCCATGTGCATGCATGCATATCTCTTTTATGAGGAAGGCTAGCGAAAAATCACATTGTAAATAACTGTGACTGCCATAACTCCAAGAAGAAAGAACCTAAAAACCTGAAATTTTGTGGACCCTGAGGGTGTGCACCTGAGTATTACTTATCCACGTGCAAGCTAGTGAAAAACCACATAGAAAAGAAGTGTTCCATATATAACAACTTCTAATTTATAAAACATCCAGTGCATTTTGGTAACAATGCATTCAACCATGGCTTTTATGTCATGTTGCTTAGCAACAAAAGTATATAGGTTATACTTCTATGCTAAAATGGGTTCAGAATATACACACTATCAACCTAATAACCTGAGTGAAGCTGGGTACTTTCACTAGTTCAAAATAAAATAAAATCAACAAATGTTAACACTGGAATACAGGCAGTATCTATCTTACAGTAGAAGCAGTACATGTTGAATACTGTATCCAGGATAAAATTGTCAAGACTACAACAGATAACAGCAGCAACTTTGTCACGGTCATTGGCATATTTTAAAGTTATGAACGTACATTTCCAAACAATAGCCCTTGTTCAAGTAAGCTGCAACTATGTTTTCCATGGTCACCCACTGCCTCTGCAGAATTACTCCTATTTATAACATCATGCATGCATTGGTCAATTAGAGAAAAACTATAAAATATCATGATAAGAATATATAATGACAGAGAAAGAGAGAACAATCTGTATTATACAAACATGGGTATGGGAATGAATTAATAAATGAAGAACGAATGAAATAATGGGAGGATAGAAGATATATATTACTTACATAACAGATATAAATTACAACCCAAATCCATATAATTAACCCTTTCATGACTAGAAGTCATTCCTTAATATTAATAAAATTGTCTGGTGTTAGCCAGAGTAAATATTAAATGGACCATCCGTATATATATATACACACACACTGCAAATGTATCCAAATAGGAGTAATATAATATTACTCCTAGTTGGATGCATTTGTTGGTTGGTTTCTGGTTCACTTAGTTGGAAGTTAGATCGTAACATTGCTCTTCGTGGTTGGATTACCAGCCATGTTATTTTTTTGCGCTTATGTTTTAAGTTTAAATAATAGAGTAATAACTTCTTTTAGAGATTTTTCTTCAATGATGAATGCAATTTCTCTCTTGACCAACTGTATGGTGATGAGGCAATCAAAGATGATGATGATCACTAAAACAAATATGCTGTAGAAATTCATTTTCTAGCTAATATATTAGCTGTTGATGAAAAGGTATGAATAATCATCACATTCGTGTATATTAATTTTGACAGACATCAAAGGCATGCCTCTCATACATTGAATCTCATCTACTACTGATGTAGATAAAGCTTTAAGTGATGCTTGGTTTTCTTTGTCCAACTCATTGGAATTCAATGTTTGATGCCCTAATTCATGTACATAAGTTAATACCTAGAAGTGAGTCAAGTGACCAAGTGTTAGACTGACCTTTTGATCAACTGGGCACTATGCGGCTGAATTCAGCTGAGAATTTGTTTATTACGAAACATGTTCAAGTCATGAAACCTACTGATAGAGCACCTGACAACTTGCATTGTGAGAACAAAACATTTATGGGACTACTTATTCCTACCTTGCATGCTTGTCTAGCCAAACTGGGCAATTTGAACAATAGAAGGTTGCAAATTTATAAGCCCCAAATTGAAGTATTAATTCAAAGCATAGAAACTAGGTTTGACAATGTGTTCTTTTCACTTGCCTTGCAGCGCATTAATTCCAACTGGATAAAATCCTCTCTACTGAGAGAATAGCTGTATTTGATGAAATGAAAACTGACTTTAAGACTACATCTAGAAATGCGTCATTGTGAACAGTCTTTACAAAACACTTATATAGAAAAGCACCAATTACTTGAGCACTTTTACGTCTCATACGTTTTGCTCCCTTTATTTGCAGGAATCTGAAATAATCGTCTTCAACTTCTGTTTCTGTTATGCTATCTTGATTAGGTGATCCTGAACTGTATTGTGCTGTGTGTTCTTCTATTTTTGTGATCATTTTTTGTCGAACTTGTTCCTTCTGATTTTCAAGAATCCAGGAGAGCTTGAAGCTAGATTGAAAACATGCCTAAAGAATTGAATTGTCTTCATCGATGAGGCATGTCTGATGGAAGCTTCAAAAAGAGATGTTTTCTTAAAACGTCACATTGATATTGGCCTCCAAATATAATAGTTTTAACTGTAGTTATTACTTGAAGTAAACTTTATTAAATTATTTCACAATAATTGATAGGCTACTTATTAGTTATTTTAGTGATTTGTATTCCTTTTTCTTGTATTGTGTAAGTCATATGTTGCTCTTATTTTGAATATTATAAAAGAAGAGTAAAAGTAGCCTCTTTAATTGATATTATAAAACCTCTCAACGTATAATGCATTTTTTTCTGTCTTGAGTTCAATGCTTGGAGTTCATCTCTGTATACATAACACAATATATGATGTACACAGTGTATGTTGTATACACAAAATATAGGTATCTAATTGAAAAATAACGAGTAACAACTCATTACTCCTTACATTTTTAAATAAGTGATGTTTGTGGCAACAACACTATTATATTTAGCAGGTAATGGCCAAAGTAACATCATAACTTTTTCTAGTAAATTGCCCAACACTGCCTATAGCAAAAACAAAGACTATTATACTAACCAAAGAATATAGATCAGGATAATTACAAAAAGTATTATTGTCACAGTTCTCCAAGTTGTTTCCTTGCAATCTGAAAAAAAAAGAAAAAATAATGCAGATACAACTGACAACCCTATACCATTTGTAATATACTACTTACCTCTTACAAGTCAGCAGTATAAACATAATAGTATTAAAATGATCAGAAATTACGTTTTCACAGGACTACTTATGAAATGTTGTCATTATTTTTTTTAGTTGAAATTTTTTTGTTCAGAATTAAAAGAAATTAAATATATAAACACACATTCCTAAAGTTAACATTTTCTTCACCTAAAAAATGTATTTCCGATAGACACCTCTTCACACAGAAAGCTATCTTTCCCATGCCTTAGAGATTTGCATGCCACCAACCTTTAAGCTTTCCTATCTGATTTCATGAGTTTTCTTGTGAATTGCACTACTGCATAATGATGCTGTTATGCAGCAAAAGCTCTCCAATAGAAGGATGATACAGCTTCGCTGTGCACTAACTCCATCGATGAATTTGCACTTGTGTGTTTTCATTCTTGACGAGGCAAGTATGTGTAAAGTGCACTGGAAGTGGGGAGTAGGGTGGGAATTGTGTTAAAAGGTGAGTATGTATTGAAAATACATTTTCAAGTAAAGAAAATGTTAATTTCCGAGATGATACACACCTCTTCACACAGAAACCTAGAATCCCACTTTGATATGATAGAGGGACTGGTGTGAAATTTACCTAGTTGAACTCCCTTCATAAAGCACTTAAAGGAAACTCATGAAGTGTGACACCCAATGACAGAAGCTCCATAGGGGCACACCTGTGGGAGACTACATCACATTTCTCTCATAGTACACTCTTTGCCCGGAATGTAAGGGAGGAAAAGGCAAACAAGCTCTATGTGTCGTGGATACTGGTGGAAGGAGAAAATAGTCACTCGAGTACTTACACACAAGAGATCAGAGAGCCAATACGTGTAGCATGGTTGGGGTGCACTCAGACACTACTTAGCGCACATATCAACTCCACCATCAGACATTATTGGACAGACACCAGCTGCAGAAGGAGGGCACATAAATTATGCCGTATAATGTATAATGTTGTGTGCATGCCTCAACTCGACTGAACAGACATCAGCTGTAGGAGGAGTGCATGATAATGTGCAATAACTTTCCAGAATTCCACATCAGAGAAACCGAAAGAAAATTGGAAACCAGATTTACAGAACATAATAAAAAACTCCCTTGTTTACCACCATTGCAACTCAAAAAAACACAATACATGTATACAAAACACTGTAATTTTAAACAAAGTACCAAACATCAATAAACACAGAATAAAGGAAGCTATCATAATTGAACAAAACAGCCTCACCCAAAACCAACACCTATACTAAGATGTGAAGAAATCTCAGGCATCTGACCTCTTTATTCCATACTGTATATACAGTGTATATTCACATGTCTCTACTACTTCACTACTTGTACCTGAGGATGACATAATCTTATTGCAACATTGTACATCTATAATAAAGTTTTCTTTATTACCCAGTCAAGCCATCTCCAAACTTTTATTTTCTAAAAAGTGAGTTCCTTGTTATCAAATTTAAACACATGTTTATGTTTTTATTGAAATGAAAAAAAATTGCTATAGAGAGGTTCCTATCCAACCTTCCACCCAAAAATCATGATTGTATGTTGTACCTGTCAGGAAACTGTTCATGGGTGGTCAGACCAATGTAAAATCGTTCCATGCACAGAAAAAAAATATTCATTATTGGGAGAGGTGCTACTGTATTGTTACATCATAATGTATCATAGTTTGCAAAAAGTACTAGGTATCAGTCAGGCAATATATATATATATGTGTGTGTGTGTGTATATGTATATATATATAAGCATCCAAATTAGAGCAATGAAGGATGAAAGTTGTTGTTGTTGTTTGTTATTAAGCACAAAGCTACACAAAGAGCCATCCATGTTCTGCCCACCACAGGTATCGAAACCTGGTTTCTAGTAGTATAAGTCCACAACATACCACTGTGCCACTGGGGGGTGAAAGGGAAAGTAAAAGTGAAGTTAAACTGCATGTAATTTTAGTCATAATGGGCAATTTATAAAGTGTGTTTGGCAGCTTGTATTGTAATAACAGAGATATAG